GACCCAGTCTGTGACGAGAACTGAAATGGTGTGGAATGACTCACTCTGCTAAGACTGGGTACGTAGTGATCAGTGATGGAACAGGATCTCTGTGACCCAAGGATGTTTGAGAGCTAAGAAGGTGGGATATTAGGGAGAAACAGGTAAGGAGATTCAAACCAGAAATCTTTTGGGGGTGCATGGTATTCATGGAGACCCAGTCTGAATTGATTATTGACAAGTCTTTTGCTTTATTTATAAAATGCAGAAACAGTTATCTCTACAGCAGAATTAAGTGATTCCAAGAATCTGGGAGGCAAGTGAGGCCTGAAGATGACTGTCCACCTAGGGCGTGCCTGTCCCTGGACTGACACTCCATTGGGGATGGGGTCAGAGCCTTCTAGGAATGGGGGAAACCAGGGCATGTGCTCACTGGACTCAGTTTGGTCTTCTCTGACGGTGGTCATGAGGCACAGCTGTCATTCTCTTGATTTCATGAGGTTCTTATAAGCCTGTTTTTGTGTCATCATGCAGTTAGGCATAAGTCACATCCTGGGGACCCACAAGTGGAGAAGCCTGGAGTAGAAGAGGGTGAGAGGAAGATGGGTGCCTGGTGTGGTTATCCTGGGGCCTTAGGAAGACATGACCCACCTCACTGTCCATCTCTCTGTCTTCCCTTGAATTGAGTAATTTCCTTGACATGGTGGAAGAGGTGTCCCCTGCCTCCCTGAGCCTGGAGGGTTTCATCTGTACATACATCTCGTTCTGGGGGTCTTCATCAGGGGAGTTCTGTAGCAGGGAGACAGTGAGATGGAGACCTTGTCTGCTCCAGTCAGAGTTCTACAGAGTGACCAGTGATTCTTTAGACTGTCAATAAGACTATGGCATTCTTATCTGGTCTTCATGGGCTTTCTGAGTACATGGGTTCTCTGACAGCTTTGTTCCTCCATTTCTGGCCTCATTTTCTGATGCCCTCACTTTCATGGTTTCAGTGACTCAACCTATTATTCTGAGAGGTCATGCTCCTGCCCCAGAACCCATGTTCCTGCTGTGTCTCCTGCCTGCAGGTGCTGTCTGTTAGATGTTTGTCTGTGCCTCTGATTTGAGGTTTGTAGTCAGAACACACCTGTTAGATTCCCCCTCCCCTTTTATTTCACACTGGCCCTGTATGCCCCACACTCCTTCTCCGATTTATTTGCCTAAAACACTGTATTCTTCACACCCTGCACTGCTCCTACCTGGAGCCTGGTCAAGAGGGATCTCCAGGGTCTAGGGAGATGCCTCGGCCAGTGAAGTGCTTGCTATACAAGATAAGGATGGAAGTATGATCCCCATCACCCTGCCATGTTATATTTAGAAAAGGCCACAAAAGCCTGTGGTCACAACTCTGGAGAGAATGGGACAGGAGCACCCTCATATTCTTGACCATCTAGTCTAACCACATCAATGAGTTCCAGGTTCAGAGGTCCAGATAAATCTGGACTGAAAAAAAAGGTGGAGAGCAATTTAGGATGTCACCCTGCTCTCCACAAAGGTGCATATACACAAATACGTATGTAAAAGAAAAATCGAGAGAGGGAGTCACTGGGAGATGAGTGGAGGGGGCACAGGTGCACGAGGTCTTATTTACCAATAGGTGTCCTATTGGTCCTTTTATCAGGGCTGGAAATCAAACCCAATGCCTCATCCATGGTAGATACTGTACCACTGAGCTGTAGCTCAACCCCTCAGGTGTCTTTGGGAACATGGTAATAGCCAGAGAGATGCTGAAGAGACACAGAAGAGGCAGAGAAGGGCTACATGTTCCCAGAAAACCAAGAAAGAGTGAAGTCCTAGCAGAGAGTGGCAGATGCTTCCGGAAGGAAGGGATCAACTGTGCATGTGACTGAGGGCTGAGACCAAATTCGGCCAGAAGCTGCTCAGCACTGTCAGCTGGAACACGGTCTCACCAGACTGTCCAGTTCCACTCTGTCCTTAGGCTGTGTGATCCTCACAGAAGCATCTGTTGTGGAAGAACAAGGTGGACGCCTCTTGGATAGAGTCCTGGGATCTCTCAGTTCCTTAGATCCCTGTGTTCCCACATGGGGACAGAGCTAAGAATTGTGGTGATGCCCCAAGGAGCATAGTGAGGGCTCAGTCCCATGGAGCACTGACTACAGACCCCCCCATCAGCTCTATGATGCCAAGACCTCAGGTACCCCCTTCCCTGGGGCCCTCTTTTCTCACACAGGATGTCTTCTTTGATGGCAGCAGCTGGACAGGATCTGGAGAAACAAAGAAGTGTCATTTGGCAGTGAGAGATGGGAGTCAGGTGGGAATCTGGTGACTGGACATTAGTTACCTCTTCTGAGGACCTCTATGCCTGGACACTGGCTCCTCAGCTTCTGCAGGTGGATGTGCAACACTGATTTTCCTCTGGGCTGCAGGAGAGAGAAGATCCTCAGCCAGGAGTGTGGGAAGTTCCTCCCCTCCCCAGTACCTGAAGGCAGGAAGGAAGCTTTACCCCCTTTGGGGCAAGTGTGCAAATATTCCAGGAGATGAAAGCTCACAGAATCCCTGATATTTGCTCATGTACAGAGATCACGTGTGTCTGATCTGGGAATATTCAGAAGTGCTTCTGGGAAGACTTGCCCAAATCTGGCTGGTTTCCCTGGAGCTGCTCCCTTGAGTCCCTGTTTGGATGATCCACAGGGGAGCCCGTCACCTCCTGAAATCCAGGTTACCCACATTTTACTCACTGTCTTTCTTGTGCTTCCCCTGACACCTACACCACAGGAAGATGAAGATGAGGAGAAACAGCAGCAGGAGGAAGGCCAGCGAGATGACAATCAGAACCTTGTGGCAACTTTCCCGTCCTGTGGCACAAGTGACTGTGAGTGAGAACAGTACTGCTGACCTGAGCACCTACTGTGTGCCAGGCCCCAGCTGTGTCTCTGCATTCACCACCTCCTACCCTTACAATCTTGAAACAATACGTCATCTAAGCATTCCAACCACCCCAGCCAGTTCACCTGGCCTAGGGCCTGCAGCTGGAAAACTAAGGGCTGTGGTGAACCCAGGAAATCTGAGTTTTAGTCACATTCTCTCCACCAGAGCTGAGTTCCAGGAGCTGGACAGGAGCCCGAATGCCCTGCACAGGCCCTGTTATCCACCCGTGCACAATGTAACATGACTGGCAGAGAGTGTTTCCCCTTCAAGTTGTGGAGGCCTCCCCTGGCAGGAGAGGTCACAGGCAAGGTCAGCTCTAAAAGGGACTCTGAGGTCAGGTTCAAGCCATTTTCACGTGGAGAAACTGAGTCCCACACAAGGGAGGGATTTGTTCAATCCAGCATCTCCAGAAGAGGTCACACCGGCCCCATAACTACCTCTGGTCCCCCTGAATCCACCTTTCTATAGTCCCCATTTAACATTCTGGTGACTTGACTCCATGGAGGTGAGTGACTGGCTCTCAGGGCCTCATGGTGGGTTTGGAAGGTGGAAGTCAGGACTCCCCACTCTCCACCTCAGTCCAGCTGCTCCTCCCCCAGCCTGGGACCAAACACCTGTCTTTGCTTCTTTGTTCCCTCTTGCATCCCAGTCCCTAAGGCTGCTGGGATCTATGTTTGGTCTCTGATCTCTGGGCTCCTGGACACACACTTAGCTGACAAAGGAACCAGGACTTAGATGGGGTGAGAGTCTGCAGGCAGCTCAGCAATGGCACAAACTGAGGACAGAAGCCCCTGACACTCACCAGCTATTGGGATGGGACCATTGTTTGAAGTGCTATTTCCCACAAAGGATCCTAGGAAAGAGAACAAGAGGAAGGTTAGGGGCAGAAACTGACCATGGAGTGGTAGCTGCTGTTCGCTGTCCCACATCTGCCCTGTGGCCTCTTGGAGAACCTTCTGCTTCCCAAATGGAACTTTCTAGATTCCACTAATTGATATGGGATAGATATTCCCTGAGGGCCTCCCATTGGTCTCTGCAGCTCTGAGGGGTGAGCCTCTTGCCTGAGATGTCCTATGACTTTTAATCTCATCCTAGCCAAGGCCTCTCCTGGGGAAAGGATCCTTAGTTACCCTTTGAGCTCATGAGGTCAGGGTCCTCTAACATGACACCCCAGTCTTCACAGGGGTACTGGGGTCTGACAACAGCTAGGGGCACGAGCCGTGAGAACCCTAGCGCCTCTAGGTCCCACCGAAGTTTGAGGTCACAGCTCTTCCGGAGAATCTTGCCCAGTATGTCCCAGCTTGGGACTTCGACCTGAGATGTAGTGGGGGATTTGCTGTCCATTCCATGATCTGAAATAACATCTTCATCTGGTTCCATGTCAGATGCAGCAGGGGACATTACTTACTTGAAGAAACTGTGGGCCCAGTTGTCACTGAGAGAGAAGTTGTGACAGGGAGCTGTCCTAGAGAGAAGAGGGATGGGTGAGGGACCACACTATTTCTTCTGAGCTGAGACGTTACTAAATCCTGACTCTGAGAACCTGGGACTGTTTCTGGTTTCTCTGATTCTGTACCTACACTGTTCCTCTGTCTTTCCTTACACCACCAACTTCATCCCAGAAACCAATCCCTGGGATTCCCCTGTTGGCCCTGTGGAGTTTGTGCTTACTGACTGGACCTACTCTGCTCCTGACCTGTGATTGGTATGTCCAGAGTTCACTGGGGGTTGACCAGTCAGAGGAGAGGCAGAAGTTACCATAGCCCATGCACCAGCTTCCAATACAGTCCCTCATGGGCCCAGTGGAAACCTGGCCTAAAGGAGACCAGTCAAAAGATTCTGGGAGAAGCCAGTTTCCTCCTCTTTGACCAGGGCAAATCTGCTGTGGCTGATGACTGGGCAACAATGGAAAATCAGAATTTCTCTGTGGTCTGGGAGAGGTTCTGGATGGGTCAGTGGCAAGGCCTTCTTGGACAGCCCTGCAGGGAAGATGGACTGGTGGATCAGGAACTTGCCCCTGTCATACATCTGCTCCTCCCATTCTGCCCTTCAAGTGTCATTGTGCTTCTTTCTGTAGGACTCTGGCTCAGGAGCTAAAAGGTCCCTTCAGCCAGCCTCCTACATGGGATTCCTGGAGAGTAGTGAGATTCATAACAAAGGTCTTTGTGGGGGGGTCTCAAAAATGATTCCAGGAATGATGAAGCTTCCTGACCTGAGATGTGTATTTCCAGGGGATCGCTGGGTTCTGACCACACCTGTGGCTTTCTCTTGTAACAGCCATAACAGCTGAAGGTTCTCCTGCTGCTGGGGGTCACAGATTCCACAGGGAACAGAGCCTGGAACTGACCCGTCGATAAGTGTTGTGAGTCCAGTGTCTTGTAGAGCTGTTCTCCTTTGTTGGTCAGAATGAACCTGTCATATCCATGTTGTGAAACACACTGGAGGGTCACATTCATTCCTGAGGTCACCACAGGGCTGGGCAGGGCTGACATGATGGGTTTACTGTTGTAGATGGCTAGGATGGAAGGAACCAATGTCTTAAATGCACTCATACAGCCCGCATTGTTCCCTAGGGCTGTGATGAGAGAGAACCATTGAGATCAGATCCCTTTTCTGAAGGCAGAGGCTAGAGATGGGGAGCCATAAGTTTCCCCTCACCTGTTACCACCAGCTCCAGGGTGTCACTGCCCTGAGACCAGCCAGCAGGACTGTCATAGTAACAACAATATCGCCCTGCATGTTGCTCTGCCATGGACTGAATGGAGAACTTGGCCTTTTTCCTTGGTTCCAGTGGGGTCTGTATTTTCCAAGGTGCTGGGTCTCCCTCTTTATGAAGAATATATTTTTGGGCATCCAGGGTCCCCTGACACCAAATGGTCACAGGAGTCTCTGAGGTGACCACAGAACCTGGCTCAGCCCAGATGGTGGGTTTTCGGGTGGTCCCTGTAGAGAAGTAGGTGCGTCTGTTTAAACAGTGGGACAGTAAAGATCAAACATAGAGATGGCACTTCAACTGGCCCCTGAACAGCTCTAGGACCAGTGAAGCCATGTGACTCCCATCCCTCTCCTTGACCTCTCCTTGACTTCCATATTTCACTCTGGCTCTCTGCCTAGGCCTCTGTAAATCAGATCCAGTGTCTCCCTCACTCTCTATCACAGAGCTCAGGAGCCCTGGATCCCCTCACCCATCATCTCAGTGTGGCATACTTGGAAGTTTTTAAAAAGATGTAGCCTTCAAACCATTAACCCAAATGTATTTTTCTTTTTACACTTTAATTCAAAGCTCCTAAAAATCGCTTCTTCTGTATCTGTTTTTGTTTCTCATAAGCACAGACTGTTGACAAACACAATATCCACTGAGAAGAATTTTGACTACATCTCAGGTAATTCAGATGAGACCTTAGGGTTGTCTACAGTTGGATTTTTGAGTAACTGGACAAGTTGTGTGGAGAGAACCTACAATTGCATTAGCAGAGCTTAGTGGGCATTTGTCATGAGGGCTCGAAAGGTCAGAATGACCACAGAATGCAGATAGGGGAAGCTGTGCTCATGAGGTTCCAGTGAAGTAGAAAACTCCCTTGGGAGTGTTTCAGTGGCTCACCTTTATACTATTTGTAGGGCCCTGGGGATTTGTTTTTCTAATATATGAATCAATAATTATGAGATTTGTATTTGTATAATTACCCATGTTTTCCATCCACTTTAAGTTTTTACAATGGAATTTCAATGTAACACTTTATGTATTTTATTGAATTTCCACTTTCATGCAATGGATTTGTACTGTATTCAGATTTCCTTCCCTAGAGCAGACATGGGACTTGTCCATTCTGTCACCGTGCTGTGTGAGTTCAGATGAGTAACTGACCAACTGTCTGGAAAACGCTGTTTCCATTTGGTGATCCTCTGGCTCTGGTTCTTACAGTCTTTTTAGCCCCTCTTCCACAATGGTCCCTGAGTCTTGAGAGGCTAAATAAGGAAGATTTCTGGAAGAGTTCAGAGATGCACTAACCTATATGCATAACAATAAATCATTAGGAGTAAGTTTAATATCATAGCTACTTAGCAGAAAAGTACTTTTAGGCTCTCCCCTAAGCCGTATGACCTGTCAAGCCTCAGGTTCCTAGCTCTTATATCTTATGAAGTAGAACTTAAATCCAATTAGAAAGTCATTGGTTTCTCCCATAATATTCACACCAGTATTGTACCCATGGGCCCAGTTGTGGCTGTAACTCCTAGGATTCACAGTTGGGTAGAACTGACAATTTTCTCTTTGGTAGCTTACACAATACCTTCCAGCACTATGAATACCAGCCTGTAGAGATGAGACTTTGAAGTCAGCACCAGCTTGGTTTCTCCTAGTTTGTTCTAGAACTCATCTATGTAATGTTTTCAGCAATACGGTTTTACTGTAGAAGTTATCTGGTTGCTAACCAAGAGCAAGATCAATGGACAGTGGTGTTTGAGGATCTATGTGACCCCTGGTCACCAGATTCAAGAAAGGGAGTCTACTGCTGGCACTGCGATTTTATTTTGTCAGCCGAAGGTGTCTAGTAGAGGCAAAGTCCTCCTGAATTAAGATAACTCTTAATATTGTTTTATAATACATTTAATGCATATAATGCATTCCAGAATGTTCTACCATTTGATATGCCATGACACTCTAGGCATATTCCCAAGACTCACTTCCTTACTCCAGAAATACCTGTACATCCACATTCATTGCTTCCCCTTTTATAATAGCCAGAAATTGAAAACAAACTAGATATCTGTCAAGTGATAAAGAAGATGTGTTTCGTATACACAGTGAGATATTATTAATCTCTGAAAATTCGAAATTAAGAAATGTTCAGGTAAAGGGGTGGAACTGGAAACAGCTGTACTGAGTGAGGGAACTCCCAACCAGAAAAATAACTGTGTGTGTTTGCTGGATGCTAGCTTTGAAATCCTAGAAATGCAAGTTCCAATGTGAAACTCCAAAGAAATCAGAAAACTAATAAATGGCCATGAACAGGTGGGGCGGCTTCTTGGGAGGTGCGGTAGAATATAGTGATGTAAATTTTTTTGTATTATTTTTTTATTTGATGTGTATGTGTGTTTTCCCTGCATACGTGTAAGTGCACCACATATGTGCAGTGCCCACAGAGAGGTCTTCAGAAGGCATCATATTCCGTGGAATTGGATTTACAGACAGCAGTTACCCACCATGGGGTGCTGGGTACCAAACCCAGATCCACTGTAAGAGCATACCTGTGCTTATATCCACTGAGCCATCTCTCCAGAGTCTTGTTCTTACTTGGTATAGTCAGCTTCCCCCGCTCCCTATGTATCTTAAAAAGACGTTGAAATTTTTACTCCTGCTGCTTCAACTCCTCTCTGTTGGGATCACGGGTGTGCACTACCACACACGATTCATGCACTATCAAGGATTGAACCCAAGGCTTTGTGCTGCTTGAAATCCTTGTGTCAGGGGAACTACATCCTCACTTTACTGTTGATTACTTTAGTTTTTGTGAAATGCAGTTCTTCATCTATTTCCTAACATATGAAAGATTAAAAATACTATGTAAATTGCAAATGCAAATCAAATGAATTATTAAGCAGTGGGAAGGAGGAGAATGGGCCAGTTTGGAAGAGTGAAAGTAATATGTATAAAATCCCTTCCAAGGTTTTTGAAGATTTAATTTCTTGGGTCATGCAGTCATTGCTTATTGGAATGAAACAAGGTAGTGAAATAAGTTAGCAGTGGAAAATGGGCTGGCATGTTTTCTTCCTCTTAAGGTGTCCACCACAAAAGGGTACAATCATGTAAGTTGTGGGGTCCAGTTTATGAATTCTATCATCAGGCACCATCTAGAAATCTCCTGCCCACTAGAAATAATTTTCTATTAGCCAATCTTTAAAATGACCCCATATTGACAGAAGATTTTATGTTGTGGAAGCCGAATGAAATGCGCTCTTTGACTCTTGCAATTTCCTGTTAGCATCTGTTGATTTGCACAGGAACTACCTTCATGCAGTGATCCAGGGAGAAGGGCTATGGACACTCCCTTTCATCTCTCCCTACAGGATTCTTCCTGAAGTTCTCTAGCAAGGGTCCCTGGTGAGTGGGGTCCTGGTGAGTGGGGTCCCTGGTGAGTGGGGGATTGTCCTATGCCCAGACATGCCTGACAGGCACAGCTCTCCATGTCCACTTGAAAGGAGCACATTTCTTCTGCAGCACAGCAGGCCGATGCTGACCAAAAATGTCACTAGTGCAGGATGTGGTCAGCACGGCCCCAGTTCACACTCTGCAAAGGTTTCTGTTTGCTGACCACACAGCCTCTCCTCACCCTCACTTCGCAGGGGTGAGGGTACTGGAAATTCTCAGATATGTTTCCAGGTTTAATGTAACCTTCACAAAGGTTCAATGTACCTCTTTATCTACTAACACATTTATGAAAAGTTCTTTGAAGCTACAGTCACCCTGGTGAGCAAAGTGCTCTGTAACTCAGTCATCTGGTGCAGCTGCTCTGTGTCTCCTGTGACCAGGACCTCTCAATGTCACAACCTGCCCTTCCGATAGCAGCACTGCCTCACACAGTTGAAATCTGCCAGGATGGTGCATGTTAGATGTTCTTTGTATGAGACAAAATGAACAGGAAAAAGGGAACTGTATTGATGATGGCTCTGTTAATGATGTAGATTTTGACTCTTGTTTTATCAAATTGCATAACTCTAAAAATACTGTTACTTATCAAGATGTCTAGTAACTTGCTTTGCACCGGAATTTTCTCTTTTGAACTTTTGTATTTTTGAGTGACTCAGGAAGGGAGGTGAGCTGTAGAATACATGCCTAACATGCCTGAATTTCTAATATTTTATTTAGTCTCATTTCTTCTTCAAAAGGTACTATTGGCTCAGGACTTTAATCCCAGCACTCGGGAGCCAGAAGGAGGCAGATCTCTGTGAGTTCAAGGCCAGCCTGGTCTACGTAGTGAGTTGTAGGACAGCTGCGGCTACAGGGAGACCCTGTCTCAAAAAGACAAAAAAAGGTACTATTATAAATATGGAAAAAACTTATTATAAAAATGAAAATGCAAAATACAGAGTGATCATTCACAATGATAATGTCTGACAGAGAAAGCTTCATAATTTTTTCATAGAAAGGAAACAGTGAATTTAAGACATAATAAAGTTAGTTTAGCAGATATTCCACAAAGGGATGTAGGTGAATATCCAATTCAGAAGTGTAAATATGCACAACACTGTTATTCATTAGGGAAATGAAAACTAACTGCAATAAGATGTCAGTGTGCACTTAGAGTAGCCACAGTCACATACACTGGAATTATCAGACAGAACTGGCCCACACAGTGAATGCAGTCATATCAGCATTCTGATTCTAACAGACTACATCTCTTTGGACTCAGAAGGTCCACTTTTCATTGTATATTCTGCAGAAGCAGTTTATATATCCCCTCAAAACTTCCAAGAATGTTTATTGCAGCTGCATTCAATTTTGGAAACAAAGTCAGGCAGTCAAGAGATTAAGCATATTTTTGATATTTTCCCAGGGGAACCCACACGATAAAGGATTGAAGGGTTTAAATGAGAGTATACCTAGAAATGGTATTGTGAATTTTATGGCACTAGTGACTGAAAGAAGGAAAAAGACCCAGAGAATGCAAAAATTTGGTGTTCTTCGATCCAGGCCTAGCCATGAATTGGTGAGATTCTTTCTAATAATTTCTTTCTTTGTCAATATGGAGTTTTAAGGAATTTTTGTGCATTTCATAAAATACATCTTAGTATTTAGACTGTCCCTTATCTGCACCCCTCATAGCCCCCCACACTGGATATCATGTGTTTTGTCATATATATGTTACTATCCATTCAAGTTTGTGTCCCCAGCTGTCCCTCGGTGTCAGTTCAGTCACTGGAGGCTGGTCAGCCTGTCTAGCATC